AAAAAAAAGAAGAGTTTACAATATATTAAACATAGTGATGAATTTTTAAAGATTATTATCCCCTTGGTACAAACATTGTAAAAGCTCATAAACAATACTCATTAGAATTTTTATTTAGATACATAAACATTTTCAAGAAAATCACCCGTTAAATTATTTGCAGTAAAAAACGGTGGTTTTCGTTTGAATAGTAGAAGTTTGTATCAACACAAGGCCCCACTCTTTAAGTAGTACAAAAAAATAACAGTAGTAATAAAATACGGTTTTCAGGTAAATACTTACTTAAAAGTTAAAACTTCTAAAAATCAGAATTTATTTGAATAATAATTGTACTATTAAATTATTTAAAGGGAAAAATGTGGTTGAGCATGCTTAAAAAATCCCCCTGTATTATACTAATTAAATAATTATCAGCTTCTATATGAACAATTTCAAACACTCAAAATCTAAAATATTTGTATTACTGTATAGATAAAAAGAGATCCTATTCTAATCTCGATCCTAATTATGTAAAAAATAGTAAGCCTGTGTATATTTTCTTCAGAGAAAAATGAATCGTTATTATTTGAACATTTTTTGGTAAGTATGTATCGGTAAGTACACAATAGTGCACATTTCACATTTTTCATAATACGATTTCACACGTTAAAACATAGGTACGTTTTGGTTAAGATATTATATTATGTAGTTGCATAAAAATTATTACTAGACTAGACGTAACGGTGTAAGCGTTCAAATGTTTTAAAAAACTTTTAATTTTTAACCCATAAAATATGTTTAATTTAGTTGGTCGTGTTTGTCATATTTTGTTGATGAAATGTATCTGGTGGTTTCGTGGGTAAAGTAGCCGAAAACATTTTTCTAGTTGTCTTTGCTTCTATTATGATTAACAGATTTAAAATCGTTAACGAGAAATATCAGTTCTTTCTTACAAAACAGACCCTTTAACAAATACCTTTACAAAATATAAGACTTTAACGTACCTAGCTGATAACGGTTTAAATTTGGTTCAGCGATCTAATTTCAAAATTAAACGCATTCACGATAAGTTAATAAATCATTTTTGTATCTCGTACGGATATTAAGAAATAAAAGCAAATGCGTTTCTACAAGAAATTGCTTACATGTTTAATTTATATGAATGATAAGAAGCGGAAAATAAAAGTGAAGTAAACATTAAGGAAACTACCGAGTGTAAAGAAATTTGTCAAAACGATAAAGCGTGTGGATGACAGGGAACAAGTCTACGAACGGCCATAAACCTTGGTAAACAGTTTCTTAATAGGCTTTAATGGTTTGCGTTCCAAATATAAAGTGCGCACAAAGACTATATATATATATATATTATTCGAATTATTGTTGTACGGTCAGACCGAATGTTGGCTTCATAAACATTCTTCTTCCATTACTAGTAATGGATTATTGTTGAAATCGTTAGCCTAACGAACAAAGTCTATATAATAGCGCAATTTGCGTGAACGAACACTGCGCAGAGAATCATTTGCCGCGTCCACGATGAAAAACAGTTTTAATTTGGGTATGAAAAATTGTTAAAATTAATACGATAAATGGGAGCTGTCGGAAATCCGTCTGGATTAAGTCGTTGCGTGTTGTCTTGATTAAACATGGGATTCCGGCCAAGAAATTTGTTACCGCGGTATAAGCCGCCACCTCGCAGTAAACTGAAATAGATCTTTCGTTCCCACCGATTCTCAATGCGCAGGGTACTAGGGTAGGTAGGTAGGTACCTGCTATATAATATATATTTAATTAGTTATATAATTGATATTGTTGAGAGCACACGCGTTTTATGCATAATATTAATTATTCATAACGTCTCTCGAGGTGGGTTTATTTAAATGCAATTATTAAGATCGATGTTTTACGTGTTGATTAATAATAATAATATATTGACTGAACCTCCGAAGTAATGCGAGAAAATTCATACTATTTTAAATACCGATTGTTTTGTGGGATTCGATTTAAATCGATGGTTAAACGTATAGGTACAATACCTACAAAGTTTATTTTCATTTAAATCACATTATATGATGTAGAAAACATTTAATTTATTTCCGCTCTAAAAAACAGTTACAATTTTTTTTTTTAAGTATGGGTGTAAAACTGTTGTAATCATAATAATGTGTGATTAAAGTCTGTACAATGTTTTTGTAAAATCATTATTTTAAAAGTTATAATTATTTATATTAAACAATTAAAGATTTCGAATATTTTTGTATTATTAAAACTCTAGAGCTTTTGTGGCATGGGTTCAAGTTGATCAATTTGTCTAAACATTTTTTTCTTATACTTATTTGAAATAGTGGAACCAATTTGAGGGGGGTAACTTGAACATTTTGAAATTTTTTTTCCTCCGTCTATACCAGAGACCACCCTAAGGTACATCAAACAAAATATATTTATATTTCAACTGTAAATTAATTATTATAATTTCCATCGCCGTAACACAATTTGCGATGATTGCGATGATGTGACTTTTACGTTATTACCCATACAAATTAATAAAACTTAAAACTTTATAAATAATATATCATTCAAAAGTACTATGTATATTATAATGTTATATACAATATGTAATATAATCACAGTGCGATCGGTTGTACAATTAAAGGATTACATTATTTTATTTATTTTGATTAAAATTGTTATAAAGTACAATAATTATAAATTGTTGTTCGCTTTAAGGCAAATTGAGTTCGTTATAGAATAGAAATAAATTGTATATATATATTGTCTATTTTAATACTGTTTTACTTGATAATAAATTATCATATTATTATATTTATAATGTTATTTAGTTTTGGGTAAATTTGAGAAATTATTTTTCTTTTATATTCATAAACTTTCAGTCCGGTAGCTGTACCTATAAATAATTGAATATTAAGATCCTTTAGTATGGACGGAAAGATGCATGAAGTAATAATGATAGGATATGACCCTACTCAAACCTCTAAGCTTAATAATTAAATAACTTTATTTCGTTTTATATTAATATAAGTTGTCAGTAATAAATAATTTTGCATTAAATATAAAAGATGTATTATGCATACATAATACAAGAAAAATATAATAATATAATAAGACAAGGTGAAATATTTAAAAACTTTGTATGACTTCGTTTTAAATGTTCAAAACAAAAATATTTGGTTAAACAATAGTAAGTATACCTTCTACCTATATACTTATAAAAATAATAAAATCATTTCAAATACAAAAATATGGTGTGAAGACGTATTAAGTATAATAAACGTACCTATTAAGTTTTCTCATCACATCTGCAGAGCAGTTGAGAGAATATTATTAAATCTTCACGACAAATAAATGTAGTAGCCTCCCATAGAAAAGTACATTTTCATGAAAATTTTTCGTTGTGAACAATTTTAAATAGTTGAAAATTATGAAAATTAAATAATTATATATCTCATATTAATTTTTTATCAAATAAATCCCTTGATATTATATATTTATAGTATATTTAACCTACATACTTATACTTAAAACTGTGTACTTGTATTACCATTAATTGCCCATTTTGATATTATACTGTTAATTAATATAGTATAGGGAATCCAAAATACGTTAATAAATCTCAGTAATAAATGTAAACATTTTTATTTTTATCTATTTTTAAAAAAATTGTATTTTTTCTCCAGTATAAAATATGTTGAGTGAATAAACGTTTTCCTACATTTATTGATTTTTCCATTTTTTGTTATATTATATTGTTTGAGTTATTTCCAGGATTTTACACTAACCATTTTTTATGAATTATGAGTAATTATTATAAATTACAAATTAGATTGTACACCTAGTTAGAAATATTTAGAGTTGATAAATATGTTTTATTTAACATTTGGGTAAGTATTTTTGAGAGGTTTTTTTCGAAGCACCAATGAGTGGTTGCGATATTATAGTACTTTGATGCAGAATATTATGCTAAATATGCTAATTTTTACCAAAGAGATACCTATATAATTACGTACATAATCTAACCAACATTTAGGTTACGTTATTAAATCAATCAAATAATTATTTAAAAATTCTAAAAGCTCAGTTTACCTCCAAAATCAAATATATTATGCATTTGAATCACTGTAAATACCTATGGTCTACACAATGTTAAAAAAAATTAAACGGCTAATTTTCTTTCTCTAGTGGAGCATTAAAATATACATTTATTTCTCTATTATATTTATTTTTATATTATATAAAATTATAAACACATTATGATTATTATATAAAGTAAAAGAGTGTAGGTAATAGGTATACTATTAAAATACAAAATAACAATAACTTTCACACCTAAAAACAAAATATTTTTGATTTAATTTAGTAGTTCAGAGATTTGTTAGTTTGATAATGACATAGCTGGTAAAATAATTGTACTCCATTTATTATATAATATTATAATTGCACGATATCATCCTTTTGTCGGAAAACATTTTTAAACAAATTTAAAGCGTGTTTAATTTAAAGTTCTAGCGAAAGGTATTATCCTATAACATAATAATATACAGGTACCTAGCTACATCGGTTTGATAAAAAAAATTAATACATGTGCTGGTAATTATTAATGTGGAAAAGGATAATTAATGTAAATTATAAGGAATTCTAAGGTATATAGAGTCGTTCAAAGTTCTAGGGCCCACAGTGGTTTTAGGAGGTGCAAAGTTTTCGCAAAGTTTTGCTTTTCGGATACTGTTTCTGGGATTAATAATTTTATCATGGAAGGAGTATTTTGTACGCGGGGTCAAATTCTACGCATTTTGTAATCTACACAGCTAGACACAGCTCTCGGATTCAAACTTGTATAATATAGTTAATGAGATTTGCACCACAAAAGTGGATAAATTACAATCTTTTTCTTTGATTTCGCGAGTAATGTTTTTCCATAATCCAATTTTATCTCAATTTCGACTAGGCGCATGCGCGGGTACAACAAAATATGTGTTTTTATTTAATGCACGATTAAGACTCACCTATAGTAGAGAACACTTGTTATGGCGTGAAGCAATATGTTCACGAGATGATATCCCATGGGCTCCAACTGATGGATCATGTAATTCCATCTGAACGTTAAAACCGTCAAAGGACGATACGACTTGTGACTTTGTTCCTGGAAAAAAAAAAAACGAAAACGTTGAACAGGCACGCGTGAAATAAAATTACGAAATTTTTACCTACCCACCGTAATGAGTTTAGTTATAAATTTAAAAAAAAAAAAAAATCAACGAAATAACAAAACAATATTATATCACCCGAAAACAAACAAAATATGCTTATATAGACATTTATATTTACATCGTGTTTGTATTCAGTTATTTACCTTGTGCATCGGCGTGCCCCAAAAATCGTTGTAAAATATGTTCCACACGGGAGTTTGAGGTTTTAGATCTCTGTTGTCTTTTATAGCACTGATGTCGTCGAAGACGAAGTCGCAGTAGAGACTGTTGTAGTAGCATGCCAAGCATGTAAAAAATATTATTGACGATACGGCCACCGATGACGCCATCGTGCTGCTTCGCTTAGTGATCTGCAAACGTACGACATAAATGTTCAAATAAAAAATTACGACTCTTTGTGGTTTTTATGAGTTATTATGTACATAAAGTTACGGGCCAACACACGCAGGTATAAGCAAATTATAGGTACCTATATAGGTTACAATATATAGTAACCATTATGGTTTATATATTTTTTCATTTCGGTTTACCTATAGCATATGGGTACCTCGCCTAAATAGACCTATACTTTTTATTGCATTTTTTTCTTTTAATTGTATAGATATTCTGCACGTTTTGTATTATTTCCGAAAAACCTACCTATTTTAATTGATAACGATACTGACCCACAAAGTAGGTAGGTACTAACCTACAAAAAAAAAAAAAAAACAACTAATAGAGTAATAAAAATTTAATTTTATTGGAGGTTTCGGTTTTCTCAATATTTAGCTGGTATACCGCCCTGTCACCTGCAGTGGTTTGTATGTAAAAAACGTATGACCTTTCCACCTATCTATTATATATTATATTCACCGGTGGAATACAAAAGTCGTCTAATAATATCACTTGCCTATCTAAAAAGGGTTAATAGTGGATTGGACATAAAATGTGTCCATCAGTCGTTCGTATTTATAAACTTTTTAAGCTATTTTAACAAAATTATATATTTTTTTTTTAACAAAGTATAAACCCGCCGTTATTGAATACGCATAATATGTTGATGGTGTTTTTGAGCAAACGTTATTATTGTTATATGTTTAGGTTTTTTTAAAAACGACAAATATACCAACAAAATACGAATTGATTTTTTTCATCTCATAAACGTTTCGAGTACAGATCGGTCAATGTTAACGTTTTAAATTATGAAAAAAAAAAAACAATTTCAAGTACTTATTACTAAACCCAGTGCGTAGAATTGTGTAGTTAGTGATTTTTTTTTCTAGTTATTTTCTACGAGTACCGAACAAAAGAAAACTTTCGTAAATGTTTGCATATTTTTAACATAAAGTTTCTCTCTTTTACTACCTTTTTTCACTACTAAATTATTCGTTTTAGGTATTATACTAAATATAATAATACTGTGGTCTAGTTAGTCGTACAAAAATAGCATACAATATGGTACAAACATAAATTGTGAGTGAGTTACCTATTATTATTACCTATACTTATTGGGCTTATAAAAATATATTATGTTCGTACACTTTGTAGGTAAATGTTATACCTATAATTGAATAATTTCAAATTCGACTTTAATTTGTCAATGGGAAAATGGTCATATAATAAAATACAGGTTTATAAATGCATGGTATAATATGGTTATAGTATAGTAGAATATACCTACACTTAGAGCTGTATATTTTCATGAAAATTTTTTTTCATATGGATTTTGTAATTATTTATTATTTTTAAATTATAGGTAATTTGTTAATTATTCATTTAATCATTTATTCTCAAAACACTTAGGTATCGACTTACTTATAAAATAAAAATGTTAACTGTTTAATATATTTTATTACTTAAAAATGTAGGTAGGTAGGTGTTATAAATTTAAGAAAAAATCTAAAATTTAGAATTAATTGAATCTTTATTAGGTAGGTACCTACATCAGTACATGAATTGTATAATACATTATTTATATTATATTAAAAGATTTTTTTCGAGTACTGTATACCTATAACTGCTGTAGAAAAAAAAATAAAAAATTTCAGTCATTGAAAATTGTCTAGCTAACAGCTCTACCTACACTATATCAAAATTCGTTTATATTTCAGTAGGTAGGTTGGATCATTCTAGTGGTCGAGAATATTATTGCAATTCTTTTGATTTTAATTTTAATCATTATGCGAATTATGATATACCCGTGCTATAAAGATTGTACAGAGAAAATAAAATAAAATTAGAACGAAATCAAATAAACATTTCATAAATAAATAAATACAATTCGGTTCGTTTGTAAAACACGACGTGTTACGAATGTTAATTATACAACTATAGCATGTCTTTCAGCATCAATATATAAGTGTAAGTAACTATATACTTATATATACACTCAGCTTTGTTAGACCAAGTTGTTCAGAACGCTGTTTGAAGACGTCGACTAAAAATGTAGACGGTTCCCCCTGCAAACTATATCATATTATACAAAGCTAATAACAATAACTAAATATTATAATTTAATAGGATTTAATTTCGAAATAAAAACGAGTGTTTGGAAAACAAAATATATTAAGGCACCCGTTGCCAATGTAATTTTGTAAGCAAAAATACGGTCTACGAAAACAATAAAATCCTGTTCTGTAGAATCGACCAAATTTGATAATTTTTTTATTTATTTTTGACGGAAGGTAATATTCTACGGGCACCGTTGTACTCCGTTTTTCAGAAAATTTCAAATTTTATAATATAACATGTCTTTAAAAATGAGTAATACAATTTTCATCTTTTTTCTTCACAAATTGTATTGTAGGTACCATGATATAAAATAAAAACCGGAGTTCAGTGCGGCCCGTAAGAAGTGTTGTTCTTTCAGATAAAAAAATTGATATCAAAATCCGACAACTCTACAAGGCCTGAGAATTTATTTCTTGTGAAGTCATTTTTTTCGATAAAATAAAACGCACCAAACCGAAAAGTATTATAATTAAGTAGACAACTAAAATATAAAATAAAGGTAATTTAAAAATTGTATAGAATTGCTGAAAACCTGAAAAACTGTCACCGGTCCGCTTAAGTATATATGACTAGGTACCTATCAGGTATCTATTTAAATACATAACACAATTAGTAAATCGATTTACATCATGAATAAATATATAGGTACCAATCATAAAGGTAGCAAGATGTTTATCAAAATATAAAACACAACACATGACCTAATGGACAAGGTATATTTTTAACATAAAAGTATGAAACTACTGAAGCGTAATAACTAATAACTAATGAAAAATCGATTCCTATAATCATTCTAAATAATATACCTAGGTAAGACTAAAGCCGATTAATATGTAACTAGGTATATATATATATTTCATTCTCATACAATTATTTGTAGTAGTTTAAGTGGTACCTAATCAATTTCCATACTATATCTATCTCTGCGTACTTTAAAAAAAAAAAATTGCCAACATTTTATTTTAAAATCATAATATTAGGATTTACCTACCTATACTACCTAGGTAGATAATTCTGATTTCTATTGAGAATAATATTAAGTTATGATATCTTTATAATTTCACTAGGTAGGTTTATGAATAAAAATGTATTTTCACTATGATATTGAAAGTAACCAACAAAATTATATTTTAAATAGGTTCCAACCAAAATGTTAACAAGTAAAATAGACGGTAGTGTTTTTATTACATTTTTTTCATATGAAAATGTAATAAAGGCTAAAATAAAAATATAACAAACAATGACTGGAAATTATGTCAAAAAGGTCCAAAATTAATTTTTAATTTAGTCGTAAATCGGGAACAAAAATTAATAGACTTGGTGAATTTTTTATTTGTTTTGTATTTTTCCGAATCAAATTTATTTTGCGCAGCAGACTATTAATATCGCACGGTAAAAAATTACGGACTGAATATAATATTATTATGTAAAGGCGTGCTTAATCAAGTTATTTTTAACATGCAATATATTTTTAGAAAATAAATTTTTGTTAATAAATCAGATTCGGAATATAGGGGTTTTATTTATTTTTTTTTTTTTACAGCAGAGCAACCAAGTTTTCAACTTTAACAATGCGGCAAAGTAAAAAAGGTCAATAAAGTCGACGCTTTGAAAAAGTAAAATTGAACACAAAACTATACAATGGGTAGTTTATACGATAAAATGTATTGGTACCACGTGTGAACCAAATGATTTATATGACTGAAGCTATTAATTATTATTATTGAATAGAAAATATCTCGATAGAAATAGATCAATCAACTATACTTAGTGCAAAACAATCTGTACAATTTCTTATTTCTATTCCTCGTTCTAAGAGCTAAATGAATAAAACCTCGTGTAAAACCTCGTGTAAAACAATTTTTTTTTTAATAATTTTTAAATGACAATATTTTTTATTTGTTTTTATAATCGTGTTACGCAGACAGGCATGATAAGAAAAATGATTCATTAATTTTTCGCTGTCCGCTGATGTGGCTTACTAAAGTAGTAGGTACATAGCTTTTTTAACACTTTTCTTAAGTTTGGTTACACGTCTGTCTGTGATCAAATCTTGCGCGCTCGATTTGAGGCACTTTTTGAAGATGAAAAATTCTGAAAATTTGTATAGACCTTGGTCTTGGATGACAATACAATAATCCGTAAAAAAATTTAAAAAAAAAAAAAAAAAAAAATTTTTTTTAACTAAAAAGTAGAAAATTAAAAATTAAAAAATTATTTTTTAAAAACACACTTCTCTAAAAAAATAATGAAAAATTTAAAAGTGTGTGGCGCTCTTAAACTTGACATATTATACCACACACTTTTAAATTTTTCATTATTTTTTTGTTTTTTTAGAGAAGTGTGTTTTTAAAAAATAATTTTTTTTTTCCTAAAATTGGTATTTTCAGAGTACCTACCTATTGTTTATCGAATTTTAATCAGGAATCAATATTTGTGGGGAAGAATTGTTCTCCTTATTTTAATAAATAAAGAATTGGCTGAATATTTCATCATTGAACTCTCTCGTATAACGATTGGTGATGAAAAAATTACAATTTTCGGTAACTATCGACGGATGACCGGATGTTAATCACATTTTTTTCTCCAATGATAACCCATTTTAGGTAATATATGATGTTTTATATTTAATTAATTACACGTCGTACAAGCCGATAATGAGAAGTGGACTTTACAGTGCCTACCTACCTACCTACTATAATTAATAAGTATAATGATTATATTTTAGGTAGGTATAGATAGGCGGAAAATTCAAATAAAATTGACAACATTATTAGGGTTACTTCTAGGTAAATAGTGATAATTATGGCACATTACAGAGTACCTATTCGTACATATA